CCCCAAAACCCCAAAACCCCAAAACCCCAAAACCCCAAAACCCCACGATATGGTCAAAGACTGAAGATACTAGATTCACATTAAAATTTCTTGAAGCAAATCGGAAATTTTGTAGCTTGACTTATCAGTGGGATCAAATTCGGCCTTCTCTTTTTCTGAATATGGCTCAACACTCAGTAATTGCTCTCTATTGCTTCTATCTGCTGGAGAGTCATACAAGGGATATCTCGAGTTGATGGTTGAGAGAGAATCTCTAATATTTCGTTATAGAACCTCTTATTTTTGCCTGATATATCATCATGTCCGCTTAGAGGATTCCCAACATCTTCGAATACTATAGGGTTAATTTCCTTTGAATACTCTAAAGTAATGACACTATAGGGTTACCATTGCTTTGGCTTTGTGAAGAATTCCTAGAAATTGTCTCTCAGTCACTTTAAACCGGTCAATGAAATGCTGTATCAAATTATTGCTAAGGTTGATCTTGGAGGTATTCATCTTGCTGTCCTTCTATAGCTATAACTTGGGAAAAAGCACTTTATATTCTTCTAGATCAGATTCATGGAGCTTGATTGCCTTGTCCAAATACTTTGAAGTGAGCTCTAAACTATGATTCCATGCCTAACCTCTAACCATAAGCAAAGTAATCAGCTCTTTCTTCAAGTTTTCCTTGTTGTCATTACGATGTTCATCGAATAAATCGTCCTACAGAGATTAAGGTTGAAGAAAGGATTTTCAACTTACTCCAAGCCCTCCCTTCTTGCCATCGAAGAGGACCTGAGATTTGTTCGTATTTTGGATTATTTTTTGTACGTGAATTTGGTATTCATCGAGGAGGTTATTTGGAGCCTAAGGTTAGGGAGGGGGGTTACGGAGTAGGAGAATGTTGTGCTCGTCGGTCTTGGAGGTAAGTGAGTCAATCTTATGCTTCAAATTATGAATGATCTTCTGTACATTGTGACTTGAAGACTTCAGTTTCAAGATCTTAGATTGACTGGTCTTGTTGATCTGATCAAACCTTCCTTTAACGGTTCTCTTTTTGAGGAGTTTTATTTTTCTATTGATAAACTTGGGAGCCTACTTTCAGATCATTTTGTCTGATCGGTCGAACTTTTTCTTAGCCAGGACTGCCTTCTTGGCTAATTTTGATTCTCTGGGTTCTTTTAGATGTTTAGGTTTTTCGAGGATTATAGGAGTGATGAATCTGAATTTTGGATACTGAGATTGTTTACTTCCTCGTTTGGCAAATAATTTAAGGAAGTTATTTCTCTACCTTCCTTCTTAAATCACAAGGACTACCTATTTTCCATTTCAAAACTCCACTCAAACACCTCTCCCAAAAACCTAAAACCCCAAAAAACCTACAAAATCCTAATTCCAACCCCTCAAAACACCTCCAAACCTATCTCCTCTTTCTCTAAAACCTCTTTTTCCCTAATCCTTAAAACCTACTCTTGTCAAACCTAAATCTCACAAATTTACACTTACGAATTAATGCTAGACTCTTCACTTGACTCTGCTTCTAATTCTACAAGTCTTACACTCACTTACTGCTCTGAGGAATCTTCTTAGGGACAGACCTATTCAGCTTATTTTAAATTCCTCGTGTTGTTGTAGAAATGCTTCATAAATTGATCCTTTGGAGTTATCTGACTCTCTCTGATGGGCAACATTACTATAAGCTGTCAGAAATTCTAGAACTTAAGAGGAGGAGAATTATGGTTCTAAGTGAAGCCTGGATAACGTACCTACATCACTGGTGGGTAAGATGCTAGGATTCTCTAGTGCAGAGATAGTCGATGCTATCTCCTTCACTGATAGGCTTTTATTCAGCCTTCCAATGTACTGAGTTCCACCATTCAGCCTGATTACCCTACAATATTGATGAATGTCTTACTTAAATTTGGACACTTGGCTTCTAGTCTCTGATGGTAGTGGCTGAGCAGGACTATCTTTGAGGTTCATTTTAAATAATCTAAGCAATCTTAGGGGTTGATACATGCATGAAGGACTCCTCAGTAATCCCACATAAAGCCACATCGGGAGCTTAAAACCTTACTTTTTGATATCAAGTTTCTTTTGAGTCTTAGATTTAATGTTCTAAATGAGATATTAGCAAAAGTAGACGAAAAAATTTCAAGGCATGCTTCCAATTATTGGTTGAGAATGCCAAAGGATTCCTGGGGAATTATATGATGAAATATGCGGAATCCTTTATCCAATAAAACTTATTGCCTGAAGACAATGGCATCAATTGGCTAATTTATTAGCACTTTTGATTGATCTGAGAAATCTTCAACTAATTGTAATGATCATCAATAAGTAAATTTCCTCAAAATTTCTAGAACCAATTTGTTTATTGATATTAGAAGTTGCTAGCCTTAAGCTAAAACATGGTTTACAGGAGTTAGATATGAACAATATGAGACAACTACGCTATCAGATTTATCCCTGAACATAGCTCTTACAGAAGTTGCATCATTTGGTGCACGAATAGATCTAGCCTAGGCTATCGGAATCTTTCAGGCCCAAAACCCGAGTAGCGTGCGACCTGAGAATGATTTATTTATAGATAAAATCCAATAAATTTTATTTAGCAAAGTGCATAAGTTGGTGATATTTTTCCTGTTCGAACAAATTCATCTTTTTATGTTGAATCCTCTGGGCAAATTGGCTAAAATATTTGGGTTGACTAAAGCCCAAACCTCTGGGGTTCTACTATCCTGAATTTTGGGAGAGGACTCAAGAGAAGGAATCTTGGAGTCTAACTTAATTCAAGGTATTTCGTATGGATGATACCTCAAAAAGACATCTTTAAGGAAAATATCAGACGTGTAGTCCCGATTAGTTATGAACTTATTAGTTCTCCCATAACACCAGCCATCTGTGATCTTAGAAAGATGTACCCACTGCTCTTTGGGTTACTAACGGGAGTATCTAAAGGTATGAATTGAGTTTATTACCAACTCAGCTAATATTTCTAAGCCAGAATTCCAACGACTTCTAGAAAGCCCATAAAGAGATTTCTGTTTGAGCTACTTGACCTCTTCCATGAGCTCCTTGAACCTCTGGTTTAAGCTAGATTAATCATGTGTGTTATAAAGAGAAAACTGAGCTAACGCCACTTTTTGTATGTAATTTGTCTATATAAGCTCATATTCTTGCTGCTGTGAGATTAGAGGAAGCTCATAAGAGTCTAAGTCGAAGATAGAATTACTCACTTTTTATTTAGGCTCGAGAAGGGGAAAATTGAGATTTTAGCTTTACAAAGAATTCAACCGAGGAAGACTTTAAATTTAATAACCTTCTCTGGTGTTATAGTAAAGCTGAATGTTTAGACCAAAGTTAATAGTAACATTATATATCTTAAAAGATCTAGAAAAAGCCTTCCTGTTTACCTCACTTAATTTGATGCTGAGTTCAGGATTTCTTGACCCTAGTGTATTCTTGAATCGTAGCTGTTGAAGATGGCTTGATCGTTCTATAAAATATAGCCCATTAAAATTCCAAATAGAGAACTTTGTAAGAACTATATCTAATTAGGCCTTCCTTACACTCTTCTCATGCAAAAACGGCCAAATTTACAACTTACTCAAAAATTTATGTACAGGTCGGCTTGAGAAAATCGAATTCCTCCCTTTCTTAGCCACATCCTACATCCAAAGTCATCCCTCTTCACCCTCAACAGGCCCTAGGGCCTCTTCAGCACCCTCTTACCTTCCCTTGTACCCTTCTCATCCCCATAGTCTTCATCTTCTACACAAAAGTCACCTCAAAATTTTCTCACCTCCATTCTATTCTTCAATATTATATAATTTCCTTGGGGTTTTGGGGTTTTGGGGTTTTGGGGTTTTGGGG